TTGCCTGGCTGTCTAGCTGTGTCTCCCTCCCTTCCTCTCTCTCGTCTATTCCTCCCTCTCTCCTCCCCTTTCTCACTCCCACTTTCTCCCCTCTTTCTTTTCTTCTCTTCCTCGTTTCCTTCGTACATCCCTCTCTCTCTCCCTCTCTCGCCCTCCCCCACTCTGTAGCAAATTATCTGTCAGAATCTAGATATTGTTATGAGCTAGTTTTCTCCTGAGGTAAAGGAGGCAGGAGGGAGATGACGATTAGGATCAGAAGGGAGATGAAGCTGAAGTAGAGAACGAAGATAACTATACACGTAACACGGGTAAACCATTTCTGATTCAAAATAGATATCAGATGTGGGAATCGAACCCACCTCCCGTGCTATGCTTATTCTTGGATGAGTTACGTAGTATTTGCAAATGTGAGTAGCAGAACTGGAGGCAAAGAAATGCAGATGCATAGTATAACAGGAGACTAGGTAGAATAAGGTGGTCTGTGGTGCACAATTGAAGTCATGAATTATGATTTTACCGCACCATTTATTTGTACCACCGTTCAGTGCCGCACCCTTCGTACCTCCGTTCAGTGCTGCACCCTTGCGACTGAGGTTCACTGCCGCACCGTTCCGACATCTATTAACCCGCGCCCCGTAGGGCTACCGGCGGACCCTACCACCCGTAGGGGGGGGGCCGTTTCGGCCCCCCCCCTAAGATCTCGGAAAGTTACCGGCCGATTTTCAAAATTCAAACGGCGTTTGATAGCCCTACCCAGGAACTACCTTGTGACCAAATTTCATTGACCTAGGTCAAACCGATAACGTCACAGGTCAGGTCAAAGGTCAGATTTTCACCGTTCACAGGCAATTCAAGAAATGTGCTGTGAAATCGAGTAAATTGGTAATTTATTGAAAACCATCGATGGTATATTGTTCGTCAAACACATACTTTGCTATCTGAGGTCACTGATACCAGGTCAGGTCACAGCGAGGTCAGGTCACCGGGGGTCACAATATGAATGTGTCGTGTGATACATGTTTTATGGTCCATTTTACATGACAAATGCGATTATGTGGGTTAGGCAGCCTTTGGGGCCAGCCTAGGTCACGTTTTGGTGAAGGTCAGGTCAAGGTCAGGTCAAATTAGGTCAAAGTTCAAAGTTGATATTTTTGCATAAAATGGGTATCCATTCGATGCAGCTCGTCACGGGGAGTCTAATGGTGGTCTTGGTTTTGCTCTACGAGTTCTAGAATTGCCAAAAATTGAGTTCGAAAATTTGACGTCATCATTTTTGAACAGTTTTTTCGCTATAACTTGGCCAAAAAACGAGGTATCGATCTGAAATTTGGTATGTAGATAGAAGACGGTAGGTACTATCTTATATATTCCGGTTTTTTCGAAACTCAAAAAACTTTTTGGATTTTTTGGCTAATATATCCAAAAAAATGCTTTTTGATTTTTGGGGATCAAAACTCAAAAATTTCAAAAATCCGAGATAGCAGTTTTGTAGCCCTGTCAGTTCTACACCTTTTATGTCTTGATCATTTTTCTGTATCTTCAAAGCTGTAGGCTTGACAGGTCTTCTCGCGAAGGTCTTTTTTCGGTCGAAAATGACAGAACATGACGTCACTCTGACGTCATTTGTGGCCAACCTATCACAGCCTCTGGAAAATTTTTTGGTCACAATGTGTAAAATTGATGCCCGGAGGGGTCCTGAAAGTTTGGTGGCGATATCTCCAGCCGTTTAGGAGATATCGACCGAAAAGGACAGGGGGGGGGGCGTTTCGGCCCCCCCCCTACGGGGCGCGGGTTAAGTGCCGCTCCCTTCCGACCTAGTTTTAGTACCGCATTCTTCCTATCTAGGTAGTAGGTTCAGTGCCGCACCCTTCTTCTCAAAGTTTAGTGCAGCACCCTTCCGACCTTCGTTTAGTGCCGCGCCCTTACAAGTTGCAACTTAGGGTCTGTGCCGCACCCTTTCTTCATTGGTTCAGTGTCGCACCCCTCCTTTGTTTCAGTGCCGTACCCTTTCGGCCTTCTTCTAGTGCCGGATCATTGCAACCTAGGATCAGTGCCGCATCATTCCGACTTTTTGTTCAGTGCCGCGCTCTTCTGTCTTTGGTTCAGTGTCGCACTCTTGCGACCTTCGTTTCGTGCCGCACCCTTCGTTTTTCCGTTCGGTGTTGCACCCTTCCGGCTTTTGTTCAGTGCCGCACCATACAGACACTCGCTCAGCGCCGCACTCTTCCGACCTACGCTTAGTGCCGCACCCTTTGGTCTAGTGTTTGGTGTCACACCCTCGTTTATCGTTTAATGCGGCATCCTCTCGACAACCGTTTAGTGGCGCACCCTTCCGTCCTTCTTCCCGTCATTTGCTCAGTGTCGCCCCCCAGTACTCCCCCTCCCTGCATTGAACCCTTGAAACGACCCCCGCCTCTGTTATATGTATTATCCATGATTTCCGTCTTTTTAACACGTCCGCTTTCCCGTCTCTGGTTGCAGTGAGTCTGGGTTTCTTTGACGACATTCTGATCCCGCCTTCGGCGCTGCAGCAGCCGGCCCGGTTCGACGAGGCCGAGCAGGTCTGGATCTGGGAGTACGAGGACGGCAAACACAGCCTCTTCATGGACCCCGGTCAGTGGACGCCGAGCACCTCTCAGGGCCGAGCGCCCTAAGAGCACAAATCGTCGTGCTATTTGTGTTATGGAAATGTGCTTGCAATCATCACCATTAACTTGGCTCCAGTCAGCGCCACACAGTCCGATGTGTCAGTGCAAGGTAACAAAACGCCAAGAAACAGAGTATCTCAGCGCGGCCGAACTTTGCACATAATTATATCCATGCTAACGTGCACAGGATGGCAAAACACATGCTAACGTGACAATTCCACCCACTGATAAGCAAGCAGTCCTTACTCTTTGAACCGACCCTCTGCCCTCCGCCCTCTCTCACCTGTGTCCTATTTTCTCCAGGTGAGGAGGTTCGGTTCCGCGTGGCGGCCGAGACGTTCACGGACACAACGCCGGCCGGTCCGGAGCGGAGCCCGGCAGAGCCGTCCGCGCCGCCCGCCGACCCCGCGGCCGGCCAGCAGCGCCACACGCCCTACCTCATCACGGTCAGAGTGGGCGGGGGGATGAATGAATGAATGAATGAATGAATGAGTGAATGAATGAATGACGGACGGACGGACGGACGGGACGGACGGACGGACGGACGGGACGGACGGACGGACGGACGGGACGGACGGACGAATGGATGGACGAATGGAGAGAGGGAGGGGTAGAGAAGGGATGAAGAGAGGAGAGAGAAGTGAGTTGCCAAAGGCAGAAGAGTTGTGACCGCTGTTACCGGTCGGTGGTGAGCGGTAGAGGCTTTATCCGCCGGTCATCCGGCAAAGGGTAGTTTATTTAGATTATTTGCCCGCAGGTAACTCTTTGCGATATTTGTTTGATCATTTGCCTGTAGAGTGCACTTCACCTGCACTGTAGTTTTTGTGTGAACTTGTGCTTTACGTGTTGTGAATTGGCGTATTATTTGCTGTTAATATTTTGGCTGACATTTGGCCTGACCTGGTGTTTGTTTGTGTCCACAGGCTACCGTGAACGAGCCAGGTCTGGGACTGCTATCCTGGTGGGCCAACCTCAGCTGACCGCTGTGACCTGACATGACCTGACCCAGCAGGATACTCAGTGGTCGGCACTCAGCGGGACCCGATCTGAACCGACCCGTCGGGACTCCCGACGCCCAGCAGTCAGTGGACCTGACCTCACCTGATTCAACGTGACCTGACCTGACCGGCCAGGACCCTCGGTGTCACTTCACGAGGTCAGGTCACAATATCGTTCACAGCCTCGTGCCCTGTGAGAACTGCAGCTGTGAGAATGCATGCGGAAATATCTGCGAGAATACCTGTGAGAACATGAGACATCCGCTGTGTGAGCACCGGTGAGAACATCAGTGAGAATACCACAGTGCCGTCCCCGAACTACCTTTAGCGGGATCCCGCTGGGGATTACCCTGACACGCTGAGACTGTACATGTACATGTATTGTCGGGTTACGACAGAGATCCAGAGAGACGGATGGATCCCAGAGGCCAGAGGGTGGTTTGAGCCGATGGGGTCGTGTCGTACCAGAAGTGCCGTGCTGTTACGTGTCGTGTCGTGCCGTACGGTACCGAACTACGACCGTGTCGTACCCAACTAGACTGTACTGATACCCCGTCGTGCATTTGGTTTCAAAGCGTTGTTGTAATTGACGATCATTGGAAGGATTCGTTGGATAAACCTTTCAGTAATATAAAAGTTTTTTTTGTGATTTTGTCGCGACGCCTGTTTTGTTCTGGGAAATTTTGGTCAGTGAACGTAGTTATTTTGTCCACTGTGCGGTCGGTTAGAATCTTGTTTCACTTGGGGACGAACTTCGGGGAAGAATTGTGTGGTCCTCCGCGCTTCATTATGGGTTTGAAGATAAAGTATTTTCTTATTGTAAACCGTCAGGGACAAAGGATCAGATAAAGAGAAGATAAGGAGGGAGGGAGAGAGAGAGAGAGAGAGAGAGAGAGAGAGAGAGAGAGAGAGAGAGAGAGAGAGAGAGAGAGAGAGACGCGTAAGCCAGGGAGCGGGGGATTACTACTGGCCTCTCATTGGTCAACTGCTCAGCACAGTCCACGTGACTTTGACGAATGAGAGGCCAAGAAATAACAGGAGGCCGGTAGCCTGCTGATCCGTTAGATTGAGAGAGTTGACGCCATTAGATAGCTAATGAATAAGGTGTGCATGGACCCCAGTCGCATGGCATATTTATGATCTCATCCTATGACGTCAGCTCGCGAAACGCGCTATTAGCGGACACGGTGTGCCATAAAACAGGGCTCTGACACCGCCTCTGCCAGTTCCACGTGTCTTCTGCCGCCCTTCCCGGCTCTATCCCTGGCGCCGCCCCTGCCGCCCCGACCTGCCCCCGGGCGGTGGCCGGTCGGCCGGAGCGAGGCTGGCCGCCGCGCGCGCGAGCTTTTGCTACCAGCGCTCGTTGTTGTTGCGTACGGCCGGCTTCTGGCGTGGTGACTGCTTCTGGTAGGCATTTCGACTACCTACTTTACAAGGTAAGTAAACAACGACAATTTACTGATTGAAAGTTCCTTTGTGCTCTGCAATGAAACGTTGTAACTTGTTAGTCTGTACTCTGTTTGATTTAGAAGGTACCTACCTATTTTTGATTGTATCCACGATTCCACACATTGATGCTATGGAAACTGAACAAACTTCATCTTGTGGAATGTTCACTTCACACTAACTAGAATAATTTTAGAGAAGTGTTAGCCTTCGCTAATCTCAGATTTAGTCCTAATTTAGGATTGGCATAGCAAAAGTTTATCACCGATCACGTGACAGAACTTGGCATTTCAGCTTTCACAACTGAGCTTCTCATTATTTGTGCCGTCATATTTATCAAACATTCTGTGTAAAAAGTTTGCCCGAACACCGGCGTCCGTTCCATGGTCTTATTTCTATGACTCCAAGAGTCGAACCAGCGTCTTGTGGCCATGCGGCGCAGCATAGCTTCAGGCGCCGTACACTAGCGACATCTATTAGCGGGATTCTAACGTTGCGGTACAGCATAACTTCAGGCGCCGTACACTAGCGACACCTATGAGCAGGATTGTCGACACCTATGAGCAGGATTGTAACGATGCGGCGCAGCATAACTTCAGGCGCTGTATACTAGCGACACCTATTAGCGGGATTCGAACCATACGACGCAGTATACCTCCAGGCGTTATACATCAGGGAGCTATGAGCGAGATTGTAATGGTAGTGTTTTCTTCACTCATCAAATTAACCTTCAGAATCATTTTGTTTTGTTTTCATCAATTGTTTATGGGCATTTCCTCGCATTCAAATAAGCATCACAAATGGGCTGTGTGCTTCTTTGGTATACGACTCGTATAGCACTCGTATCTTCACACTCCGCCACGAGTTTACAAACTTACCAGCCACCCTCTCAGCGTGTGTTGACTCTGTGCCATCTCTCCGACAGGTGCGGCAGTATAGGAGTGAGTGTGAGATTGGGTCGAGGAGTGTGGCGCCGGTACAGGTGCCACCAGACGTCCGTCCACCGGCCAGTCACCACTGAATTGACCTCCATCGAACACTGGAGCCTCCAGCGGCCTCACATCTCGACGGAAAGGCGAGTCAAATAACCTTCGCCCCAGTGGGGGGGCATATGTTACCACCCTGTCGCGTTTTTTGCGTGTGAATAAAAAAACCGCGGCGCGTAGCGCCGCGCCGCTGGGGGTAGCTTTTGGTACATCAATTTTGAACAATTTGTGAAATTTTTGACTCCAGGTCATGTCAGGTCAGGTCACCAGGTCAAGTTAACTGACCAAGCCTAAAAAAGTTTGCAATCATGTCCAGCCTGCAGTGTTTGTCAGAAAGGTTTCAAACTTGGTGGATTGCATGCTGTTATGGGCGCCTACAATTTGTATATCTCGGATTTCTTATATCCGTGACCTAAGGTCAGGTCAGTGGCGTGACCTTTCCATTACAAGTCAATGGAGAAAAATGAAAATGCCTCTAGATCCGTGTGTACGCATAGGAACAGTCCAAATATTTCAGAATCACAATGATTTAGACCACTCGTGATGACCAAGGTGTCATTTTTGCTGATAGCCTCTAGAAAGGTCATCCGAGGTCATTTGAGGCTACAAACAGATTTTTGCCAATAACTCGCGATTGGAAAGAGATAGAACGCTGGGGATGGTCTCATTGTGTTTGTCTTGATGAGACGCATCGATTGATATGCAACATGACCTTTTCCGGTCAGGTCATGACCTTGACCTGAGTTCAAATTTTCAAGTTGACCTTTCAAGGTCAGATTATAGTTCATTCGACGCGTCTCGGCGAGGGGAGCACGATTCTGGCAATAGAAATGTCGTGGCTTTTTGTTGTCGAAAGTTATTGTCGAAAAACACTTTTCGTAAAAACAGTTATTTTTGGAGTTTTTGCCCTCTGGAGGCTAAACTGTTGACCTGAGGTCAATATTGATAATGACATTTTCAAAAGAAGAGTTCAAAAGCTATCGATTGCTCCTCCATGCGTTTTTCTAGCTACCATAGTTCCTGAGATAGCGGCATGTTTTCTGAAAAATATAATGACAATTGGCAAATTTTGACCTTTGATGACCTCTGGTGACCCCAATATTGCTCTAAGATGAAAAATGACTGAAATATTTTCAAACGTACGTATTGAGAGCTATCGACTGCTTTTTACCGCGTCTTTCTAGCTCTCTTTGTTTTTGAGTTAGAGGTGGGTGGTAACATATGCCCCCCCCCCCCCCCACTAGGGCGAAGTTGGCTGAGCTGAGACCGCCACTGGGGCGCGGGATAATATATTCGCACTAAGCTTCGTAATTAACAAAAAAGTCTAACGTTTACTTCTAAAGAGTTTGATATCTCATCGATCTTAGCGTTATAGTACGGTTTCTGCGAGATGTATAATTATTAAATTATTCCTTTCCTCCGTTTTTTTTTTCAGGCTCACCCGATGGACCGAGGCAGACGGTGGCACTGCTCCAGCCTCCAACACACCAAATGATCCGATATATCCGTCATGATGACGCCAATTTATCAGGTGAGTCGGCGCACAGAGGCGGGCGCAGCACTACATCTACCACACCTGACACCAGCGCACAGTAGTTTTATTGTACAAACCATGATGCTATTCATATAGATTCTATGGCTCGGCATTGATATTTTTTTAGCAATATCCTCCCCATCACATCAAAGCAAAGTGCAATTTCTTTTTTCGTTTCGTGTTACAGTCGCTAAAGATACGGTGTTGAGTGCTCTTGCGAGGAACATATTGTTATAATAACTCAAAATGAATGACCTTTTCCTCGAATATGGACAGTTGAAATGTCGAAAATGATGTATTTAGGTACATCACCTAAATACATCATTTTCGACATTTAAACTTTCTATATTCGAGGAAAAGGTCATTCATTTTGAGTTATTATTACAGTCGCTAACATTTATTCTGTTCCGTCGCTACAATATGCATACCCTGCACTCAAACGTAATCCTGTATACACAATTATATTCTCAGTCGTCTCATTGACGCCGTGCTATCTCTCCGACAGGTGAAACAGTGCAGGAGGGAGTATGGCTCCGGTACAGCTGACACCAGACATCCGTTCACCAGCCGGTCACCACTGAACGGACCTCCGTCGAACTCCGGAATCTCCAGCGATCTCACACCTGGACGAAAAGGTGAGTCACAGCTTTTTTGCGTGTACTTTTCTGTACAAGAAAATAACGTGACTTAGAATTTTGATAGTTTTGATATGATATCGATTGTTACGCGGATATTAACTATGCTAAAGTGCCTGATTATATTTTTCTTATTTTAGGTCCAGCCCACCAGAGAGAGATGGCGGCCCTGCTTCAACACACCACCGGGACCCGCCACAGGAGTCGGCTTACCAGGTGGGTCGGTGCACCGAAGGGGCACTGTATCTGTTGTGACATTATTGCTGTATACTTTTAACCCGCGCCGTGCTGGTGGTCTGAGTTAAGAGTTTACCGTGATGTGCTTGGGGGTGGGGGGGGGGAGGGTCACGCTCCTCCCGTCTAACTCGGCTCCTGGGCCACGCAGCAACACGCGGGTAAGCGGTGTGTTCATTATGTTGTTTTACGCTAAAAGAGCGTAACAAAATAATGAAGGAAGAACATCAGTCATTTTTTAGGTTAGGTCAAAGGTCGGGTCGCCAGAGGTCATCAAAGGTCAAATTTTGTCTATTTCAACAACTTTCGAAACACCGACGCATAACTCGGGAACCAATAGAGCTACAGCGCGGAAAGGGCATTCTATAGTTTTTTTTTTCAACGGCCTTTCTGAGCATTGCTTTCAGATTTGAACTCAAGTCAACGGTTTAGCCTAGAGAGGGCAAAAACTAAAAAAGCCGTTTTACGAAAAATGTTTTCTGTAATAACTTTTGCCTCAAGAGAGTCACGACTCACGACATTCATTTTGTCAGCATCGTGTTCCTCTCGTCCAGACGCGTCGAATGAACTATAGTTTGACTTTGAAAGGTCATTTTGAAAATTGGACCTCGGGGTCAAGGTTATGACCTAACCGAAAAGGGTCATGTTGCATATCAGTCGATTCGTATCTTCGAGCTGAACACACGTTATGCGCCAAACTCCATACAGAAGCGGACATTGGGGTTCAGATTGATATTATGAGTAAAATATAAGTCATTTTCTTCATTAAACGGCTGTTGCTCTATGTGGCGATCATTTATGAAGCACGCTACAC